CAGCAGCCACAACAGGTGCAGCCGAACCAGAACACACGAACACAACAGCACCAACAGCTGCAGCCGAGCCAGAACACACGAACACAGCAGCACCAACACCAGCAGCCGAGCCAGAATACACGAACACAGCAGCACCAACACCAGCAGCCGAGCCAGAACACACGAACACAGCAGCTGAGCCCAACTCAGCAATAGCATCCTTCTTCGAGGAAAGCTACACCCAGCCCGACGAAGATCCCTACATGCAACCCATGCACTTTGAGAAGCTCATTACAGATCCGGTCGGTCGTCCTATAGCCACCCCGGTAAGATCCTCATTCGAGCTTCGACTTTCACAGGATGCTCAGGTGCTCCGATCCCCAACTCCCACGGACCCGGAACCTGAAGCTGTGGAACTCAATCTGTTGGATGATGGATACGACTTAGCTTCCCGGCATGAACTACAACATTGGGTCTTTGCTTTCCGAACCAACCCTAGGCCCTAAACCATTCGTTGTTTCGATCCAAGGACGACCAAGACTTGCAGGCTGCCTTGGCGAGCTTGCAGGTGAAGAGGGACGAGCCAGTGCCACTGCTGCATGATCTGATGGCTGAGGAAGCTCAGGTGGAGGAACCTGGGATTTGAAGTACAGTACGAGCATGCACATGTAATCGTTGATTCAGCTTTGTGGCTTCTTGCATGGCTAGATAAGGAGTATGCTGGTGACACCGATGGCGAGGAGGCCCCTCCAGCTCCGAAGGCCTGGCCTTTCCACACCCAACCCTAAACACCGAAACCCTAAACTAAACCTTATAAAGCCTGGCCCCGGAATCCTAAACCCTGAGAGTTGTAAACCCTAAACCCCACACCCCAATATAAAGCTTTCGGGTGCAAAGATTCTGGATAGGCAAATCCGGGCAATTGCCGGAGCTGGTGTCTGAGTTTGCAAGAGCTGAAGCTTCGATATGAATGTGTGTGGGTTGTGTGTGTAGGGGTGTGTAGGTGTGTGTAGGTATGTAGGTAGGTGTGTGTGTGTGTGTGTGTGTGTGCTGGTGAAGTGAATAGGGGTCCTAGTGGAAGGGGCGGTTGTTTGTTCATACCTCGTATATCAACCTTAAGTGTCCCTATTTCCCAAGCCTCAGAGCAGAGTGTTGCCCACGACGCCCACGAAGCAAAGCCCGGATCTAGCTATCCGAAATATCCGCAACACTCCTCCCTACGTTTTAATGCCTAGCGAAGAAATAACCAAACGAGCCCAGGAACTCTCGTTGCTCAACCAACATAGGCGAACAAAAATGTTACTGTGCATGTCCGTGTCGATCCGTATATCTCGAGCTCGTGCAATTGTGTGTGAATCCTACATGATTAGTATATGCACAGTAACGTAGATACAGTGTATACACATATGACATACATGTGCACATATACACATTCATATACATATATGTATATACATACTTATATTATGGACACAACACAACAATGCATGAACATGTGTGCATCGTATCAAACTCACAGGTAGTGCTGTTGAGGCCCAGCCCCACATCTGCCCCACCAGGAGCCGATCCGCATCAGTGCCAGCCAGCTCGCTTGCTACGATGCCACTCTTCGTCGCCTTTGCAACCACAAGAACAAGAAGAAGGCTCCACAGGTTGTGGTTCCGGAGGAGGTGAAGAAGCAATGGCTTAAAGGTGGAGGCTTCAGAAAGGAGCTGCTGCAAATTCTGATAGAAGCTGGTGGAAACAAGGACCGGTGTTTAGTGTTATTGGACCTACCACGTGATGCTCGGAAAATCGGGTCGTAGTCCCAACCCCCGTTTCGCAGGAGAACTTCGTGCAGAAGGCAGAGCTGGTGATCGAGAGTCGCCGGGAGGTTACTATGAGAGTGGAGGCTGGGTGGTACTCTGAACGGTCCATGGCCCAGGATCTGGGCTGGACCCCGTACCTTGGGTGCATTTTGTTTACACATACTGTACTATCTTGTGCTCCTGCATCGATGCCCAACAATCGACAATCTTCTGAGGGCCCGCATCCGTGCGGTCAAAGCTTACTGTTCGTCATCGAAAGAGAGACGCCGCACATTGGTGAGGCCGGATTCCACGATCGTTGCAAATGATAGTCTGATAGCATCGAATTGATCTAGCCGAATCTAGCCATATTGCAAGGCTTGACAAGTACGAAAAGGACGTCAAAGAGTATTGGGTCGATATCAAGACCACGGGAGAAGTTCGTCGGACGATGAGCGAGGTCACCATCCGTTCCTTTGTTGTCGACAACCCCTCTGCTTCTTTTCCGGCCCCCCCATCTATCGGCAAAAGCGCCATGCCTTTCATGCCCGACGAGCCCGGTTTCTCGCATGAGGGGGATGATGAGGAAGATGACAACGAGCAGGATGACAATGATCCCAAAACGCCCAAGCCTACCCGATCAAGGGTGACCCCGAAAAGAGAGTCGAAGAAGGCTCCTGAAAATGATGATGGAGAGGACTGAGCCAGCACTCCCATATGTTTGCTTGCACTTCGGTTACTCTTATAAGCAAACCCAACACCCCAACCAAATTTCAATTTCGCACAACAGGACGTCACCGTTATCCCCGACACCTTGAAGGACATCCTCAAAAGCCAGAACAAAGCCATGACCTTGATCGAGAAGGTGTGTGAGAATGTCAGCAAGGATGCCAAGACGGACGAGTGCACTTGCTACATTGTATATGCATGTGTTTCACGAATAGGCAAGCTGTGAACTGGATCGCGGTTCATCTAAGGACTGCAAAACTCCGGGATCAGGCAAATAAGCTTCTTACCCTGCATGATGATATTGCAGAACTCAAAGCATCCCATGATGTGGAGGGGGGACTCGATGCTGAGATACCAGGTCGCAATTATTTTATATTCATGGGTGGGCTAGATTGAGTTACTTCGGGTTTGGGCTGCCAATGGTCTTAAGGGGTCTTAGGGCTGCAGTGTTTCAGGTTTAGGATTGAGACTTTGGGGTCCCGGGGTTTATATTATTGTGAAAGGTTGTGGAGCTTCGTGCACAATGCGAATCCTCTAGCTAAGGAAAAGCAAAGCTCTGAAACGAAAGCTGAGCGAGGTCGAGATGACGTGTCCCACTTGAAATAATTAAGCTTAGTCGCTTCTCCATGTCCAGCGACGATCGAGTAGATTCCAGAGCTCCTTAGTTCCAGGTGCAGCAAGATGACTATGGAAGAGAACAAAGTCAGGCGGTCACAGCCTCAGGGGCCCCATGATTTATCCGAGTTTATACAAACCCTAAATCCTAAACCCTAAACCCTAAACCCTAAACCCCTAAATGTATTTGCTAGAAACCGAGGCTCTATCTTCGCAAGAAGCCGAAGGCCAAGGCGAGACCCTGCAGGAGGTCCCGGGCAGCAGATGATGATGATGATTCGCTGCAGGGTGAGGAGAGTGGAGACGATAATGATGTTTCGGGCGGCAAGCCTAAGCCTAAACCTAAGACCAAGGCAAAGGCGAAAGCTAAAGCAACACCCGCCGCTGGCAAAGCCAAAGCGAAGGGTAAGGCTAAGGCAAAGGCCATGTGAGCAGCTGGCTGAGTCAGCTATGTGAAATCTGAATCCTAGAATCGTTAAGCACTCAAACCCGTAGCCGGTAGTCTGTATTTCCCCGCCGTATGTCGATCCTTTGATGCAATGTGCTGCTGGCAGATGTGATGATGCTCACATGTTGGCTTGCAATTCGAACTGCTGAGTTCGCACTGAATATGCAGTGCACCGGCCTGATTTGGGGCGGGGTTCCACGTGCACGGTCTCAGTCTCCGAAGCTGTGATCTTTAAGCATATAGTCCATACCTCGGGATGTGCTATTTTGGGTGAGGCTGGGACGTGTTGCGAGTTCATGGGGAAGCTGCCAAGATTGGATCTGTGTTCGCAGCAAAGAATCACGAGTTCGTTGATGTATTAGGATTTCGTGGTCACGGTTTAGGGCGCTTAGGCTTGGGGGTTTAGGGCTTATAGGGGTTTAGGGGTTTAGGGGTTTCGGGATTAAGGGTTCAGGGGTGTAGGGGTTTAGGGATTTAGAAGTTTAGGGTTTGGTGTTTAAAGTAGCATGGACTCCAAGACCCCAGGACGATGCTCCAAACCATTATAATGTTTTTCCAAAACTACAGTAAACCCGATTTCGCCTTATATAGGTTTATATGACCCATACACAAACGACTCTACCCCATTATATAACACTTATGTATACCCACTCCTACAACTCTCGGGCCTTTCATTCTTAAATTCGGAGGATCCTCGCTGATCATCTTAATTTGCAGCCGTACAGATTGAGCCCAATATTGTCTCGATCACTCGCTCTAGCTATCCATATCTATTTATTATATCTCTCTCTATATCTCTCACTCTCTCTCTCTCTCTCTCTCTCTCTCTCTCTCTCTCTCTCTCTCTCTCTCTCTCTCTCTCTCTCTCTCTCTCTCTCTCTCTCTCTCTCTCTCTCTCTCTCTCTCTTGCCTCGCTCCTGCTGGGAAAAACAGAATGCGAAGATCTCGAGCAAGAACGCCCGATTGTAGAAGCATCACAATTGGATCTCGATCATTCTGATTTGAAACATTAATGTTTCAAATCAGAATGATCGAGATCCTTATTGGCCCGACTATGACAATCTAAACCCCGACCATATTAAACCTTTCAGCCCCGAACTCGTTCTCTAAACCCTGTCCCCGGCCAAACCCAATAACCTATCCAAGCTCCAGCCAACCGCAGGTACATCGCGGACAGCAGGGCCAGCCGGTGAAGCCTTGGCGAGGGCCAGTGCAGCCGGTGTTCTCGGGCGATTTTTTGGCACGGTCTGGTATGGGTCTAACATACTAGTCTTAGCTTCGGCCAGATCTCGAAATCGGGTTTCCATATTTTATGAGCCTAGGTATCTGACCGCCTGGTGTGCGATCTAGCAGCAAGCTTCTGGGAGGAACATTCTGGGGCCTCTCTCGCATCGGACAAAGATGATGTCGATGTGCTGGCTAGTTCCCACGTATTGAGGGCGATGCATCGAAAGAGAAAGACATTACACGAGAACTCGGTGCAACAAGTATTCGACAGTTCTGGATTATCGTGCCCCATCCCGGTGGATTTTGTTGAATTGCCCGATGGACATCGCCATGAAATTTTCAAGGTGGAATCTTTTCTTCGTATCTTCAGCTTGAATGAGAAGTTGCATTTGTTTTTGGGCCATGTACAAGACTTTAGTCTGACCGAGGAATATTGGAGGCGGGTCAAGTGCATTGATCCTGGTCACCCAGTATTCTCCTACCACAAGGGTAGGGAACAATATGTGATTCCCTGTTGTCTACATGCTGACGAGGGTCGCACGCTGAAGAAATCGAGCATCATGGTGTGCAACCTGCAGCCGGAATTAGGTTGCAACCCCGATCCTGATTATGACCCCCAGGAGCTACACACCAACATGAAGTGCATCTCTTGGGCCACGAGGTTTCTGATGTTCACCATGCACAAGTCTATCTACCGCAAAGATTCAGCTCCATTGTACAAGATGTGGGAAAGTCTGGCAGAAGAGCTTCTACATTTGTGGACTCATGGTGTGGAATTGATTTGGAACAATGCAAAAGTCACAGTTTTTATATGTGTCACTGCAATCAAAGGAGATTGGCCACTGCTGGCCAAATTAGGCTGCCTCGAACGGTTCTTTGGAAGGAAGACGAAGGCCGGCAGCAAAAGCATTGCCAAGGGGATTTGCCACTTGTGCCTTGCTGGGCAGAAGGAGGTCCCGTTCCACGATTGCACGCTTACGGCTCGTTGGCGATCGACTTTTCTTGAGCACAACCCATTCTGGAAGCCATCTCCCTTCGCTTGCTTGCCCTATCATCAGCCACTCCTATACAGGTTTGACATCTTTCACGTTTGTCACAAGGGGGTGCTCGCAGAGCTTGCAGGAAGTGGACTCGTGGCAGGCTGCATTCGGTACTGGTTAACTTTGTGTTGTATAGTTTAATAGCATCTTAAAGCTTAGGGTTTAGGGCCTATGGCATAATCAACAAAGGTAGTTCTCATGGACCTTGGAAAGGTTGGCCCGGGAGATGTCAAGAAACAACTGGAGACTCTGTACACAGAGCTGGTCCAGTTCTGCCGAGAACATTCGTTGAATCTGCATATGGGCTCACTCACACGAACTCTGGTCGGTTTCGCAAAGGATGCTGAATATCCTTGCGGGCTCTATGACCAAATCGAGTAAAACTCTTAAGCTTTGCTAGTCAGAATATACTTCATCTTTTCTTTGTTGGCCAAGTTGTCCCTAAAATAATTAATCTAGTTAGGTCCGGGAGTACACCTATAGTGGTTAAAGTGATTTCCAATTCCAATTCTCCAGGACATGGTTCAAGGGACAAGATACCACGATTGTCAACAAGTTCCTCGAGGAACGGTTTAAGCAGCTGCTGGCCGAGGAGCCATCTGATTACGTTGCCGCCATCCACGAAGCAGTGTGCAAGGCGAACTCCATGATGCGGCACTTGTTTGCACATGGGCTTTGGTATCGAAGGATCGATGCAACAGTGTTCGTAGAGCATGCTTACGGCTTCCTGGCGAAGTACTTGGAAATTGCTTATATGGCTCTGTCACGGCGAAAGACACGATTCAAGTTGACCCCGAAATTTCATGCACTGAATCACATCGCTGATTATGTCCGTATGGATTTGATCAATTGTCCTTTGGCTCAGTGGCTGAGAAATCCAGTCACATGGTCTACCCAGCAGTGTGAAGACTTCACAGGGCGGGTAAGTCAGCTTAGCACAGCTGTCAGCTCACGAGCTTGCCACCGGCAAGTTATGTGCAGATATGCAGTCAACTTGAAGAGCCACTGGTAGGACAGAAAAAGTCCGATTGTGTATTGGCCGGGTCTAAGTTTCCAGGGTTTCGCAAGCTCGCAGCGACGAATTAGTCATAATGAATACCCCCAAAGCCTGATACCCAAAGAAGAAAATGCCACCAACACGGAAAACCAGCAACTTTCGGCGGTGGCGCTTATTTCTGCAACTTGGTTTTCAAGGTAGAAGTCTCCCCTGGCGGTGCGAACGGGGCGCTCAAGAAGTTCGTGAGGAGGGCGATGAAGATCTCCCCCTTTTCCTATAGTGCTCGAAAGCCCAGGCTCAGGGGTTAGATGCATTCCCCCCCTGAGGCCGTAGTCAATCAGGACATAGCTTGGAGGATCGTAGCGAACCATGACTTTTCCCATGTGGATGTCGGCGTGCACCACCTGGCTGGCAGTGCACCGCAGTCAAGGCAGCCCTGATGTCGGAGACCAGGCTCACAATGTGCTCTGGGACATGGTAGGAACATGTGCAGGGTAGTAGCCGGGCAGCAGCAAGGATGGTCCTTGCTGCCAAAAAGCTTTGGCCACCGAAATTATCGGTGGCAACCGGGAAAGTCTGCTGTATTCCCTCTTTGCCGTGTACTCCCCATTCTGTCGGGTGATTTGCTTCAAAACAAAGTCTCCAATGTCACATGCGTAGATTGCGCTTGCAAATCCGGTGGCCAAGCGCTTCCCTTGAGGCGTGGTGGGGGATAGCCGCTGTGATGTGCGCGTCCACGGGCCAGCGTAAGCTCGGGGGGTGATGCTCCGCCAGGGCCTCATGAACTCCCTCCGGATAGGGGGAGCGGTGCATCGGGCTAGTGGCTGACACTCGAGCCGAACCTACAGGACAGACAGTGCCTCTAATGTAACAGAAAAGGTGCTTCGGCTGATTTTCGGCAGTCCTATCGGGCGTCGCGCGAGAGGGTCGGCAGCTGATGGTTATGTCCGTGACTCCTGGTGGTTGACGAGACCCTCTCCAAGCTGACGAAGTCTAGGAGCTGGCGGAGTGGGAGGTCGAGCCTTGCCAGAAGCCAGGGTTCCTCGATCTGTCGTTTGCGAACTCGTCATCGATGCAGTGCTAGAGTCCTTCGATATCTGCGAAGCCTTTCGTTTGAGGATCGCCTCCAGTTGTCGCACGATTTGCAAGAAATAGACAATCTCACGCCTCGTGATATCCTCTTATCCTCTAGCCAACAGGTGAGATGCTCACCGTCCTTTCATTTGAAAATCTCTTCTCATGTACTTTGCGCTGCCCTGGTGGGTAACGTCTTTGATTCTCACTGAAGGGTTTGCCCTTTTGTGCGACTTTTGTCAAATGCGCAAGACATGTTCACTCGTTGATTGTTTGAATTTACTTTTCACGCATGAATTTTATAGAGTGATTTCTGGCGCGCGTTATCGGTGAATCTCATGACTGAATCTCTCCTGCAGGACATGTGGCTCTGAAGGCAGAGCGATTTTGAAAGTCCCGTAGCCATTTTGGCTCAAGGACATGTAGCTCTGAAGGCAGAGCGATTTTGAAAGTTTTGCGGCACACGTCTCTTGTTTCATGCGCATGGACTTAGGATTTTACTTCTAGGTCTGCATCTGGATTGTGCCCTTAGGGCTCCGTGCAAGCCTCCTGTGGACGGGGGCGGATGGACCCGGCTGCTGAGCCGGCTGCGGAACCTGACTCCGAGGCCGATAGCACAGTTTCGACGGTGAGTGCCATCAGTCGTCACCTTTCTGACTTGCAGAGGGATCACTGGGCTTTGCAAGGGCAGCTTCGTGCATCGCAGCAGGACATACAAGTGCTTTCGGACCGCTGTGAGTATCTTGAGGGCAGGATTCGCGTCTTGGAGTCTTTCGAGAACCGCATCCGGGCTTTGGAGTCGGCTCGTGATTGCACTAATCACTTTGTCGTGTGGCTGGAGCGCATTGTGCAGCGGGTTCGTGCTTTCGCTGCTCAACTTGCATAGCCTACATGGCAGGCGAACTTGTGCAATCAGGCCATCATGCCTGTAACCGGCCAAGTGGTGTGGGTATGGGGGATTGGCTTAGGGCTCGGATTAGGTCTTCTAGGGCGCCTTACCCTCCGTCAGTGCATCGTGCCAGGTCGGTATTGAATGCTACAGCAGTCGAGATGCCTCTGCCTTGGGATACGGGGTCGCTGTCTTCGGTTCTTGGGTCTAGGGGTTCCCTGCCTTCCCCTCTTGTGCCTTGGAGTCCGGATCAGGCTGCCCCGGAGCCCCGAGTCCGTGAGACTCCACAGCAAATAAGGTTTAGGAAGGAGCCGTGGAAGGCTGCAGTGGTCCACTCCCGGTCCTGGGCAAACCATGAGGATGATCGAAGGACAGCGGCCCTTGAAATGTGGCGGCTGATCATCTTGACATCGGGCAAAGGCACCAGAGTGGGTAGGAATCTTGCTGGGATGCAGCAGGACGGAGCCTCGGCAGAGGCAGTCGATCAATGGCCTAGGGATGTTTTCTCGGCTAAGTCCACTTCTACCCTTAAGGCGGCCGCAGGGTTGGCACATTATGCGTGGTGGAGAGCGTCCGTTGGCCTGGATCCAGCAGTCTTTCCCTTGGACGAGGCCGAGGCTTACTTGTATGTTTGCTTCTTGAGAAGTGAGGGGGCCCCACGGTCCCGTGCACCACGCTTCCGTGAAGCCATCAACTTTGCTGGCCCGATGCTCGGTGCCGACGTCAGTGAGGCCGCGAGCTCTGCGCGCATCCAGGGGGCGGCTAACCCTCAAGTTCAGGCTGTGGTAGTCCGCAAGAAGGTGCCCTTGTCTGTAGCTCAGGTTAAGGCGCTAGAGGATTTTGTTTTGCATTCCGACAACGATCTCGCTGCGGTTTTGGCTGGCTACGCCTTGTATTGCCTCCATGGAAGGCTTCGCTGGAGTGACGCTCAGCACACCGAGGCCGAGCCGACTTTGGACGAGCGTGATGGCAAAGGTTTTCTTAATGCCCAGCTTTACCACCATAAAACTGGTAACAGGGGATCGTTGGCCAGGCATAGGTTGCTGCCAGTGTCCTGCATCTCGCCCGGCCTGGCTGAGGGCAGCTGGGTGGAAGCTTGGCTTGAAAGACGACGACGACTTGGGCTTACGGCGTCAAATGGCACTCCGATGATGCCGAAACCGTTGTGCACTGGAGGTTTTGATTCCCTTCCGCTTGATCCTTCCCTTGGTGCTCTTGGGTTGCGAGAGGTTCTTAAGGAATGCCAGCCGTTCGATCCGGATGTCAGGTGACATTGCTACCCATAGCTTGAAGGCCACACTGTTGAGCTACATGGCTAAGGCGGGTGCTCCGGAAAACCTGCGCGCCATGGCTGGGTATCACTTAAGGTCTGCCAACTCTTCTACCCTTGAGTATTCCCGTGACACCCTTGCTCCGGCATTGCATTTCTTGGAGTGCATGTTCCTTACCATAACGAGCGGGCTGTTCGCGCCAGACGCTACTATAGGGCTGGACGCTGGACTCAGGGAGTGCGCTCGGTTGATGATGCGATCCGCCTCTTGTCGGGGCGGCAGGCGGCTAACCAGGCATCGGCCCCAGCTCCGACGGAAGAGCCGGGGCCCGCAGGATGCGCAGTCTGATCCGGAATCGCCGGCCGAGAGCATTGGTTCCGCAGGTGAGGCCGAGGAGGCTGGGATGTCCCTTTTCGCCCTTGGGGCTGACCTGCAGGTGACTGACGAAGCCAGGCAGGCAGTCCGCGCGGTGCTTTCAGCATAAGTTGAGCGGGGTGACGATCAGCCTCCGGATGTCGGGGAGATGACAGTCTTCAGGCGCGGCCGCTTCGCGAATCGTAACTATGCCGTGCCGTCCTGTCCGTTGATGCGGAGCAGCCCCACTGTGTAATGCCGTGGGATGGAGGGTCGCGTGTGGTTTTAGTGGGTTAACTGTTCGAAACCCCAATAGGATCAACCCCACCCATCGGAGGAGCTGTCCAAGCTGGGATTCCCGCTTCCCGTTCTAGGCCCCGACTCTACGGCCGGTCCCGAGTCTTCTCTTCCCTTAGGCGTGCCCAAAACTCCGAGTGCCCATGCGCCTGTCAGGCCAGCGCCTGGTCCGGCGGTCGCACAAGGTGAGACGGGCGTCTCTCAAAACAGCCCTCTGCAGTGCCTTCAAGACCATTTCTCAGTCAGCGCAGGGGACGAGGTCCCCGGCAGCCGATGGTGAGCAGGCCCTTGAACCATCCGGGGTTTCGCGCGCACGCGCGCAAATGGCGATTCCGCTCCGCCTTCCTTCATTGAGATTTTCTGTGGTTCCGCCGGTCTCTCTGCTGCCGTGCGAAAGCTGGGATTCCAGGTTCCTGGGGTTGACCATAAGCCCACTGCTAAGCATGCAAATGCTCCCTTCATCAGTCTGGATCTTCGGGACCCGGAGCAACAGGAACGCCTTTGGGTGGAACTGCGCCGCGCACAGGCAATCTGGCTGGCGCCTCCTTGCGGGACTGCTTCTGGAGCCAGGTTGATACCTCTCGGAAAATCCAAACATGGCCCCAAGCCTTTGCGGTCTAAGGACTTCCCCGATGGACTTCCAACGCTTGAGGCGGTGGATCGTGACCGTCTGCAGTGCAGTGCAAATCTCTTGTATGCGTTTTCGGCCAAAGTCTTCAACTTTTGCAAGTCCAATGGCATTGTGGAAAATCCGGTTTCCAGCCTCATGTGGCGGACTTCATGGTTCCGTTCGGCAACTCCGGACGGTTTCTGGCATGAGCTTCATGCCTGTATGTACGGCTCTTCACGGCGCAAGCGCACGGCCCTGCTGGCTACGTGCAGTTTGCCTGGCCTGGGGACCTGCCAACAGGCGCCTCTGCCTCACCTAGCTCTAGGGTGTCACTGGGGCAGTTGTGTTGGGTCTGTTGTTCGGGTTCGCGGTGTTTGGGGTGGTTAATCAGCCCTAAGCTGCTGGCTGGAGCAGCTTCGTGGTTGTTAGTCCCCCGCCTTCGCCTCCCACTCCCGACAGGGATCCCTTCAACCCGTAGCACCACTTCTCGTAACAGGCGACTTGGTCATGCAGGATGAGATTCCGCAGGGCAACTTGGCACGGCAAGCTACTGCGCGAGCTGAAGAGCGGGCAGAGCGCTGCATCACGGGCGAGCCAGGGACTCCAGGCGCGGGCCTGACATGAGGCGGAACAGGGACCCGCCACAGTGTCGCACCTTGCGATTGGAGCCGGGCCGAAACTGCCTCACACCAGGCTGTAGCAGGTGGATCTACCATGGCACTCACTTGCACTGCTGCTCTCAGTGTGGGCGAGGTGGACATACCAAACGCTGTCAGACTCGAACACTCGGCGTGCATCGTGATGCTATTCAGGTCTGCGTCACTGCCTGTTGCTCAGCCATAGTTGGACAGGGGCATACTACATGCTGTAGCACGTGCTGGCAGAGCAGTGGGCAGCGGCATACGATTCGCTGTCATGCACGACATGTGCGCCTGACAGGAGGACTCCAATACTCCGCCACTGACACGCAGGGCCCGTCGGTGGTTTCAGGAAATGCAGTCTCTTCACAGGCGATGACAGCACGATCAGCCGGGGTGGACGGCATGGATGAAGCCGGAGAAGCAGCTGATTATCGGGAGTTGATTGATGTCACCTCCATGGACTAACTTTTTCGTGCAAGAGATTCGGTGCTCGGCGGGAGTGTCGTGTACCAAGCGGAGATGCTGCTATCAGAGGTTTTGGAGTTTGTGTTCAAAAAGGGTCCTCAATCGCAGGACGCAGCCTTGTTCTTGAGGTGCCTCGAGACTCGAGCTGCCGAGTTTTGCCGAAGGCGAAACTTGCGTTTCGTCTATCACCGCGGATCGGTGAGACGACAGCAATGCAAAAATACTACACTACTACTGCTACGACTACGACTACTACTACTACTACTACTACTACTACTACTCCTACTACTCCTACTGCTACTGCTACTGCTACTGCTACTGCTACTGCTACTATTACTACGACTACCACGACGACGACTACCACTACCACTACCACTACCACCACTACCACTACCACTACCGCTACCGCTACCACTACCGCTACCGCTACCGCTACCGCGACCGCGACCGCGACCGCGACCCCTACCCCTACCCCTACCCCTACCCCGACCACGACCACGACCACGACCACGACCACGACCACGACCGCTACCACCACCACTACCACTACCACTACCACTACCACTACCACTACCACTACCACTACCACTACCACTACCACCACTACCACCACTACCACCACTGCCACTACGACTACTACTACTACTACTGCTACTGCTACTACTACTACTATTATTACTACTACTACTACTACTACTACTACTACCAGTCTTACAGCCCACCCAAACCCACCTCACCCCACCACACCCCACCCCACGCCACTCCACCCGACCCTACCCCAGGCTAGTCCACCTCACCTAGGTGTGCGTTTCTAGACAACACAACCCTTTTCTAACCCACTCTCCGCTCTAGTCTGTGCCACTGCACTGTACGTATTCCACCCGACCCCATCCCGTGTTACATCGCAAACCACCCCACCCTACCCACCCCCTACCCCCACTTCCAGAAAAATTGGAGGAATGGTTCTAACCCCCACCTCTGCTCCGACCTCCACCCCAACCCATGACCTGGCAGCGCTTCCGCTTCAGAACTAGCCATTCTTTGGGCAGGGGGTGCGTAGTTTGTGCACGTCGTTACTTTCATTGCATTATACGTTCGGAACTTTCACTGCATTATATGTTCGGACCTTTGGCTACCAGTGCACTGCACTGCTACGAAAGTTGTCTGCGTGACCTGGCAGAGGCATCAAACAAGGCGTAAGGAAGGAGACTGGAAAGCGCAGAAGAGGGACAGGGCTCAGAAAAGCGGTTCCTGAGCAGAAAAGGGTCAAAAGAACAGAGTGAGGGGTCAGAAAAGCAGGTTCCGGGGTCAGGTGATCAGAAAAATAGGGATGGGGTCAGAAAAACAAGGTTAGGGGTCAAAAAAGGGTTGCCCTTTGGGGGGGCATTGTTTTCCCCGTGATTTGCGGGATTTCGGGCAAGACGACGGACTTAACCACCCCCAGCGACGAGCGTAGCATGTTACAAAGCTGCCCCTGAAATCAAATTGAAAGCACAACCGACACACCCGGAACCTACGAGTCCGACGAGTCGAAGCCTTAACAAACTCACAACTGATGCGCAGGATTCGCAAGTGGTCGACCTGGTCGTCGACCTGATGCAGGTTTCCGGTCATACGAGATTGCAGACTATTCATTTAGGCTTCGGGTTTTGGGCCTAGTATGGCCCAGCTGAAGTCCAGGGGGTTGAAGACCTTTGAATGAAATCAATTGCCCTGGCTGACGATTGACCTGTTGGCCCAGATAGACCCCATAAGTCTGAGTATGCCTTGAAATTCATCCTTGGCATGCCTTCGCAATGATTCCTTTCGTGTCAACGATTCTGTAGCCAAGAGCTTCGGGTGAAGGGACTTGCAGCCGCTGGTGCAACCCGAGCAGTGGCTTGGAGAGCTTCTTGCATGTTGATTTGGAGGCCTACGTATCGGCGGCAACACTGTGAGAGCTGCGAACCCTTTTTACATGAAATAGCCCAGGACTTCCGTTCCAAACTCTGGACGTTGTCCAGCCAACACACTATCGTTATTGGATAACATCGAAAACCTCATATCTAATTCAGAGAACACAAACCGTCGAATCGAAACGGCAGGGTTCGTCTTGACATGCAAAAGTAGTTGAGTAGGAGATCGCCTAGCTGCCGGCAGGCTCGCTTCATGCAATCCAGGCGAGCACTCACTTGAGCCTCGTACGTAGCGTAGGGTTCTTCGAATCGCCATTTTACGCGGTCTTGAACGCCTATCTCTACTCAGATTTAGACCCTTAAGCACTCAAGATCTGCAGCTTGTAAGCCAGGCCAGGTAGCTTAAATCCAGGAAGACATCAAACCAAGATGGACGTCAGTGCAGGTTTAGGACTGAGCACTTGTTCAAGCTGAGGTGAAGAGACGCACGGTGGAAGCACTAGAGCAGGCCGCCGGCATTGCGGAATCCCTGCGCAATGGTTCAAAGCTTGTGACTTCGGAGGGTATGGGCCATGTGCCGTGTGCATCTTGAAGCGTCTCAGTCATCTTCGAAGATGCGGCAATGACGATCGTATCCACCTGTGCTCTTCGGTCTGATTATGGCAACCAGCAAACAAGACGAGACAGAACTGGTTCATGATCTGATAAGCCTAGACAGATATTGTTACAAGGAAAAAGTCGCGTATGACATGTCTGTCCATGTAGCAGCGCGGAGACGTCAATTTCAAGATTGAGCACTCCCGTACCGTGCCAATGCCTGGCATCCTTGCCATGCTTAGCTGTGGCCCGATGTAGCAGTGACACCAACGAGCAACCGCACCCAAACCCAACCCCCCCAAACCCCCCAAGCTCAAGTTCACCCAAAACTCTTCATTGTCTTTAATCCACAGGGGTTTAAGTTTACGTTTTGTGGCGACAGTGCGGCACGGCTTCTTTTATAGGTTAGGCTCGAAGACATCTCGAAGACTATTGCACACTTGGAGAAGGATTCTCACGTACTGGTAGCAACCAAGTGCTCAGCTGTGCGATGCATCTACGTAACTCAGTGCATTGCCTGGATCAAACCGTTTCAGCCGGGGCAGCATCTTTTTTGACACGAACAACGACAGTAATCTTGGATAGACAAGAGAATTATAGCCAGCGCAGCAGCAACCTGCGGCCACAAGATCGGGAAATCTCCAAGAGTGTTCTTGGACACTCTAGCACTTCCTGCTCCTTCAGCGGTCACAGGCCCTGTGACCGCCTCGGCTTAAAGAGCGGCCGAGGATGCTCCTCCCCCAGCCCTGGCGGATGCAGGACGCGAAGCGTTCGGCAGCCGCCTTCCATGAGCTGGATGCGCTGCTGGGGATGATCATTGCTATTCGGGAGGCCTGATCTAGTCTTTGGAATTTGGCTAGAGAGCTCATGGGGGATGGCGGAACTGAGCTTTTCTACTTCTTGGAGCGTCTTCTAGCGGTTTGCTAGTCCACTCCACATTTCAGAATTTCAATAAAGGTTCATGAAGCCGTGAAGACGTACTGGGACCGTGCAGTGCTTTATTTTACCGAAGCATTATTCTATCCACTCTAGAGGCAACATCAGTGCACCGAACCCTGCACCCGGACACCCGAGGCCACCTACTGACGTGCACGTTATATCTGCTCTTCCAGGCGAACGGCGGCACTGGCCCCGACGAGCGCGAGACAAACTTGAAGCTCGTCTACGAACAGGCCTTGCATTGTGCACACAATCAGCTGCTTGTTTCTGGAAAAGGGATGAACAACATATCAGCCCTCAGGATACATCGGATGTGTGGTATGCGAGAGTTCTACAGAGTCCACAGAACCCGAGAGAGAGCGAGAGAGGGACAGAGAGACAGAGAGAGTGAGAGAGAGAGAGAGAGGAGCAGAGAGGAGAAGAGAGCAGAAGGGAGAGAGAGAGGGACAGAGAGAGAGAGAGACAGACAGAGAGACAGGAAGAGAGAGAGAGAGAGAGAGAGAAGCAAATGACGACTCTCAAATTGAGGATGTTATACAGTACAGTCGTTGGCACATGGGCATCAAGGCTGTCTGCGAAAAGGAGCAACCAACATGTTGAGGTGAGGAATAGTCTCACGCACGGCACGGAAGAGAACTAGAATCTGAACTCTTGTCGTCAGGTGTACCGCTCGATTCAGCGATCGACCGAAGAGGCGAATGTGCTTCATTCAGATTTGATGACTCTACTCTATGCAGGCTTCCAAGAAGGTAGACGTAGCGGTGAGGCTTCTCGGTTTCGAAAGAAGCCCTCTACGAAAACGAGTTTTGGATTTGAGCAAGACCGTTTCTTGTTTGTGGATTGGAGCGGGCTCCGGTCAAAGTGGAGCCTCAGCACAGAGGTGTTCACATGGAATTGGAATTAAGGTCGCTCAGGCTGAACAGCGTGCTGATTTGTGTCAGAAGGGCCTCAGCAGCGAAACCTCGCCCGGCCTGATTAAACACAAGTCCTGCACTCATGGTCACCGAGCTGTTCCGGCATCTGTGTGGGGCACATGCACTATTGACTAGGACTAGGTTTTGAGGCTTACGAGAGTACTGGAAGCCAGTATTCCGGTCCCACCCAAATAAATGCCTGCGTGCTTAGCTACACACCTTCGCCAAGCGCCAGTGCAGGCCAACAAGATCCGCCATGAGATTCAGGACCACCCGAGCTTTGAGTCGGGTGCGACTTTCAGAGAGGCAAAGACGAAAAAGCAGAGTGCCACTAAAATCTGAGAGCTTTTTGCGATGGGCTGCTTACTTGCTGCTTACTCAAAATGATCCCACCATTCTCACAGAGGGCCCTGCAAGTGCCTGATCTTCATGCTCCGAAGGAGTTGGACAGTTTTTGCCGGAAGGGCTACATCCCCCCTGTTTACGACGCCTACAATGCCTCCCAGCAGGACTCCGGGACTCTGTGCCCAGCTCCCTGCCCACAAAATCCGCTGCTTGAATGAATACCCACAGATCGGCAACCACCTAGTTGCAGCGTCTTGTTGCACAGACGCTCAGCAACCTTATGGCCTTGCTGGGCCTTGCTGCTTGCCGAAGGACATCCAGAAAATGCGAGAGCTTCATCAAGCAACAGCACCCTTAGAGGAGAAGGCGACGGAGATTAAGGGCTTAAGGCACCTGAAGTCATCCAAAACTGGATCGCTTGATTTTTCTGTGCGAGAACGTTGAATTACACAGGTTCGGGCATGGTCCTTGGCCCACACAGTCTTATCAGCACCCGCGGCATCATCTTGAGACCGATCTCCATCGCAGGCAACGTCATAAACTAAATCGCGGTCCCCCGGGCTTGGAATCCTAAAGCTCCAAGCCCCTGGGCCGGAGGCTGCGCAAGAAGCGGCCAACACCTGGTGCGCGCCTGTCGCATCCCAGGCGTTGCTCGCTTGACTACTTGCAGCACCGGCTTGTGTTTAGGACTTAGGACGAGGAGGGTTGCGGGTTATCGCATTGGTTAAATTAAAAGATGTGCCAGAAACTCACTCATTGAAATATGTGTGTACGACAGCTCAAAACGTTTGGGCTTAGAAGTTGACCAACTGAAGTGCGCAGACCGAAGACCCGCGGGTATGGCTCAAAAGCCAGTTTGAGGCTTTGTACTCGATCTTGGCACACCTTTGATCTTTGAGGTAGTTCGTCTGGCTTGGGAGCAGACAGATTGGACACTGTCATGCATGCACTCTGTGATCGGTTTTTCTCCTTGTCCGAAGTACACATGCAGACGATCTTCGGTATAGCTCCTGAGTCTGCCACCTCTACAAGTGCGAAGAAACTATCCAAAGCTTGAAACTTCCAGCGAGAGTGGCAAAGCTGAACAACTGCAGCTTGTTTCCCAAATCCCCACCGGTGCCTTGCTGCAGGTAATTGAGATCCCTCACCTACCGCTTTCATGCCTCAACCAGGTTGGCTGTGTGTCCGGTGCTGGGTAGGGTTTTTCGAGTCAACACGTTTGGTGTGTAGCGTAGTGTCACGGAGAATCTGATGACAAAGGCAGTTATCGTAGGACTTACCGTATGATCTCTCAAAGTCCAGATCGTATACTCTTCAGCATGAAAAACAAATCTCGGCTGTTGTCATTTGTGGTTCGCGCTAAACTACCTGGTCTGAAGTCAATCAGTTATGTATCTTGCCGTACGATGTCGTTGTGAGAACTATTGAAAGTCAGGGATCAGGGATGCCGACTATCTTACTGTGCAGGATCGTGTTTCGCCATCTGCAACCGATCTCAAGCTGTGGAAATTCCTGCTCAACCCCGATCCCTTTCAAGAAGGCACCTGCACTGAAAGCTGGATTCGCCTACCTCGGGAGCGTACAATTGACAGGCCGAAAGCACCCTGGCGGTGAGCTTAAGTTGTAGCCCGATCTTCGGTCGCAGAACCCGCTCGCGATCCTAAGCTCTCAATCCTTGCAAGATGTAGCCGCACCAGGAATCTGGAAGTTGAACTGCGAATGACCCCAAGCTCGGAAGCGCCCATGCATGCTAGGGCAATGTGGAAGTGCCCACTCGGAGACACGAGGAGTGTTCATATATGTTCATAAGCTTTAGGGTGTTTCGGTTGTAGCGGCTGTGACGCCCCCTCCACCGCCTGCTAGGTGACGTTCGGTGACGTTGTGACGTGTGGCATGGCAGTCTCTCCGATTCTCTCAGTTTTCCGATTCTTGAACACTGGCCTGTGGCCCCGGGTTTCGGGTTCAATCCAAGAAACTTCAGGTTCAGTGCAAGAGACCTCAGGCTGCACCCGAATGACGCCTGCGTGTAGGTGATAGTTATTGTTTGCTTGTGACTTGTGTTGGGTAGCCTCCGTGAGTCAGGCTGAGGGCCAATTTATCGGGGCTTCTCTCTGTCTTCAGGCTCTGTGATCGTAGCAGCTTAGTCTGCAAATATGCAGATCGGCCCTCTCGTGACTCCTATTTGTTGCTGCTTGTAAAAACATTTGCCCCACCGCCATTGCGCAGTGAAGATATGCAGAATCGGGCAATTGCTATACATGCAGGAGGATGTGGAATACTCGTCATCCAGCGGGTCTTCAAGTCAAGCCGGCCAGTTGTACATGCCTTGAGAGAGAGAGAGAGAGAGAGAGAGAGAGAGAGAGAGAGAGAGAGAGAGAGAGAGAGAGAGAGAGAGAGAGAGGGGTACAGCTGCATTGGGCCAGCTGCGTTGACGCGAGTTCTGAAGTGGGTCCTGAGTCCTGATTCAAAGCTTGCCACAGTGGTGTGCTGCTCTGTTGCCGTTGTCGTACAAAAACCGCATAAGACTGATGCCTCTGGGAACTGCAAAGGCGTGCCTGCCGCGCTTCCTCCGTCCAGGACAGAGCAGCGCCTGGGTGCCCCAGCTGAACAGCTGGAGCATTGGTCGGAAATCTGATCCTTGTCCCGTGCTTGTTATACGTTTGTCTAGCAGGGACGAAGGTTGAGGCTGCTCGGTTCACTATGTTCAAGGGCTTGTGCACCGATAGATCGCCGCTGTATCTCCAGCGAGTTCTGGGTCAATCTCAGCATATGTTCCTCACGGTTCACAGTTGGCAGTCATCATAGAGTATGGATACTGGTGGGGGCAACTGCGCCGTGCTTTCCATGCTCACCGCATGCCCTGCAGCGAAGGGGTCGGTTTCCAAGCATGCGGCCCGCCAATTTGCAGTCGTCACAGCTGTAAACAACGATGTGCCCCCGCGGCTGTAATCTCTTCGCACGTGACTCCTGAAAAGCAACTCAAAGACCAAAAGGCGGCTCAGCTCTGTGTGAGCCATCATCCTACAGTGTTTTGGGTTTTTGTTTTGAAGGCATTCAGGGCTCAGGGATCGTATCGCAAGATGCGCGGCCTCGGAGGTGGCATGGACAGCAGTGGCAACCGGTTTGTGACAATGGCGCCGCAGGCTTGGGCCCAGGCCTGGTCCGGACTCCGGACATTCAGATTGAGAGACTACAGTCCGTGGGTTTGGAGGTGTTGTTCTTGATTGCTTCTTTGCCCCCGGCCCGTGGAACTGAAAACGGACCAGGTCCTAGGGTCCTAGACCCCTTCAGTTTAGTCATGGCTCGTCGATGTGGGAGGCTTTGGCTCCTGCAGGCCACCGACCTGCTCCATGCCTCGACCCCTTTTGAAACTGGGACAGGAAGCTTTGAATTAAGGGTCTTGGATGAAGTTGTTGGTTTTCTTTTGCCTGCTAGACTTCCTGCATTACTCAGCCTTTTTGTCACCAGCGAAAGTACTCCCTCAAAAGCGCTGGGTTCGACACTCCCTGTTTGTGAATGTTGCCAACTCTACAGCGACTGTGGCGACAACAGAATGCACATCTCGCTCCTGGAGACTTCGCAACATTTTTCGGCTTCATTATGGCATGGGGTAGGCTTCATTGCAATTGGTTGGCATTTAGAATGCAGCTTTCCTGATACTGGGATCTTGGACTGAGGGTTCGGTTCGGGTTTAAGCTTTAGGTGGGGAAGGCTTCGGAGGCTCCCTGCCTCCAGAAATGCCCAAAATCAGAGACTCTGTCTGTGTGTGTGTGTGTGTGAACTTCTCTCGTTCATGAGATAAGGGCTCACGACCCGGTCTTTCGCCAACCTATTTTGCAGGGGACCATCGAGGCATCCGCGGAGCGGTGATCGACGAAGACTCCCCGGGGAGCCTGTGCAAACGTACATGTTCTCTCCATCCTCATTGTACCTCATTGCATCTGGGCCGTCGCGCGCTGGTGAATGAGGAAATGAGGACGAGGACGAAGATTACGACTACGAACACAAAGGCATTTTGCCACAGCCACACACAGCCAGCAAGATCTATCAACTTTTCCAAGCCTTGAAACGCACGAAACACTGCTATGCTCAAAAAATTCCAAATTTTTAAGGAATTTGCCCCCGTCCTGGCCATGGATACCAGAATTTTGGAATTGTTGGAACTTTTTGTGCATTACAGTGTTTCGTGAATTTTAGGGTTGGGAATTTTGGATTTTTTTGAGCATTACGGTCTTTTGTAGCCTGAACCTCACAAAACACTGTAATGCTCAAGAAAAATCTACTTTCACAGCTTCAAAGCTCACTTTTTTGAGCATAGCAGTGTTTCGTGGTCTAAAACTCACAAAACACTGTAATGCTTAAAAAAAGTCCACTTTTCACAACCTCAAAGCTCACTTTTTTGAGCATAGCAGTGTTTCGTGGTTTAAGACTCACAAAACACTGTAATGCTCAAAAAAAATCAACTTTTCCAAGCCTTGAAACGCACGAAACACTGCTATGCTCAAAAAACTCAAAACTTTTAAAGAATTTGCCACCGTCCTGGCCATAGATGCCAGAAGTTTTTCCCCACATCACTGTGGGGTTTTTATTTTTGCGCTGCACCGCCCCGGCCACTAGTCTTGCCTCTCCCTGTCGTCCTCCTCCGCGCCCCGCACACACAACACACACACACACAACACACACCGCCCCGCACACACAACACACACAACACGCACAACACACACAACACGCACACAACACACACAACAACACACACAACAACACACACAACAACACACACAACACACACACAACACAACACAACACACACAACACAACTCTCCTCCGAGGGCTCTCGGAGGCTCTTGGAGGGCTCTTGTTGGTTCAGGCGCGCGCTAAAGGGGTCCTGCACTTAGGAAGAGTCTTCCGCGACTCAAATCCACTCCTCCGAGGGCTCTCGGAGGCTCTTGGAGGGCTCTTGTTGGATCAGGCGCGCGCTAAAGGGGTCCTGCACTCAGGAAGAGTCTCCCGCGACTGAAATCCTCTCCTCCGAGGGCTCTTGGAGGCTCTTGGAGGGCTCTTGTGGGATCAGGCGCGCGCTAAAGGGGTCCTGCACTTAGGAAGAGTCTCCCGCGACTTAAATCCACTCCTCCGAGGGCTCTCGGAGGCTCTTGGAGGGCTCTTGTGGGATCAGGCGCGCGCTAAAGGGGTCCTGCACTTAGGAAGAGTCTCCCGCGACTGAAATCCACTCCTCCGAGGGCTCTCAGAGGCTCTTGGAGGGCTCTTGTGGGATCAGGCACGCGATAAAGGGGTCCTGCACTTAGGAAGAGTCTCCCGCGACTCGAAGGCTCTTGGAGGGCTCTTGTGGGATCAGGCGCGCGCTAAAGGGGTCCTGCACTTAGGAAGAGTCTCCCGCGACTCAAATCCTCTCCTCCGAGGGCTCTCGGCGGCTCCTGAGGGCTCTCGGAGGCTCTTGGAGGGCTTTCGGAGGCTCTTGGAGGGCTCTTGTGGGATCAGGCGCACGCTAAAGGGGTCCTGCACTTAGGAAGAGTCTCCCCCAACTAAAATCCTCTCCTCCGAGGGCTTTCGGAGGCTGCTGAGGGCTCTCGGAGGCTCTGGAGGGCTCTCGGAGGCTCTTGTGGGATCAGGCGCGCGCTAAAGGGGTCCTGCACTTAGGAAGAGTCTCCCGCGACTAAAATCCTCTCCTCCGAGGGCTCTCCGAGGCTCCTGGAGGGCTCTTGTGGGATCAGGCGCGCGCTAAAGGGGTCCTGCACTTAGGAAGAGTCTCCCGCGACTGAAATCCTCTCCTCCCATACCTCTCGGAAGCTCTTGGAGGGCTCTTGCTCCGAGGGCTCTCGGAGGCTCCTGAGGGCTCTCGGAGGCTCTTGGAGAGCTCTCCGAGGCTCTTGGAGGGCTCTTGTGGGATCAGGCGCGCGCTAAAGGGGTCCTGCACTTAGGAAGAGTCTCCCGCGACTAAAATCCTCTCCTCCGAGGGCTCTCCGAGGCTCCTGGAGGGCTCTTGTGGGATCAGGCGCGCGCTAAAAGGGTCCTGCACTTAGGAAGAGTCTCCCGCGACTGAAATCCTCTCCTCCGATGGCTCTCGCAGGCTCTTGGAGGGCTCTTGCGTGATCAGGCGCGCGCTAAAGCGGTCCTGCACTCAGGAAGAGTCTCCCGCGACTCGGATCCACTCCTCCGCGGGCTCTCGGCGGCTCCTGGCTCTCGGAGGCTCTTGGAGGGCTTTCGGAGGCTCTTGGAGGGCTCTTGTGGGATCAGGCGCACGCTAAAGGGGTCCTGCACTTAGGAAGAGTCTCCCCCAACTAAAATCCTCTCCTCCGAGGGCTTTCGGAGGCTCCTGAGGGCTCTCGGAGGCTCTTGGAGGACTCTTGTGGGATCAGGCGCGCTCTAAGGGGTGCTGCACTTAGGAAGAGTCTCCCGCGACTGAAATCCTCTCCTGCGAGGGCTCTCGGAAACTCTTGGAGGGCTCTCGAAGGCTCTTGGAGGGCTCTTGTGGGATCAGGCGCGCACTAAAGGGGTCCTGCACTTAGGAAGAGTCTCCCGCGACTAAAATCCTTTCCTCCGAGGGCTCTCGGAAGCTCTTGGAGGGCTCTTATGGGATCAGGCGCGCGCTAAAGGGGTCCTGCACTTAGGAAGAGTCTCCCGCGACTAAAATCCTCTCCTCCGAGGGCTCTCGGAGGCTCTTGGGCTCTTGGGGGATCAGGCGCGCGCTAAAGGGGTGCTGCACTTAGGAAGAGTCTCCCGCGACTAAAATCCTCTCCTCCAAGGGCTCTCGGAGGCTCCTGAGGGCTCTGCTCTTGGAGGGCTCTTGTGGGATCAGGCGAGACTAAAATCCTCCGAAACCTCTCGGAGGCTCTTGGAGGGCATCAACGAGGCGGAGCTTGACTGCTGGTCAATGAGAGCCTACCAGGAAGTGAAGGAAGCTGCTGCAGCTCGGAAATGCTCAGCCAGTCTTCTCGCGGATCTGCGATGACGCGATGCAAAAGCTCCCACGTCACAAATTCTGACGTGTCTTCGTCATTCTTCGTCCAGGACCAGGCACTGAGCCACGTCGTGAGCTACATGCGTCTGAACAGCGATGCAGCTCACGACCTTTCGGCAAGAAGAGATGGCTTGGAGAGTCCACGATACTTTCCATGAATAACCGGCTGAATTTGACGGGTGTGAAGGGTATCTACAGGGGACGATGTTGTTGGTGTTCTTTTTTGTTCCAATGGGTCCTCCCCGATGTCTGCCTGTATTTGGGGTTGGCACGCTGCAAGCAGTGGCACGGCTTCGCGAGGTCGGGCGTTTGGTTGTGAACCTAAAAGCTAACATGTCCCGAAATTCGGAAGACCCTGGCTTGCTAATTCCACTTCGGAATGTTGCCAGATGCCACCTCTAAGTCCAGTGCCCACAGGAACCCGTTTAATGGACTGATGCCTTGCGATCCCTGTTATCATCCCCTCCGTGTCTCCTGCATCTGTCGTCCTTCCATGTCAACTGCCCCTCCTAGACTTTTCGCAGGTCTTGTGCGCTGCTCGAAGACGATCGTCGGCAATGAGGTTGGACGAAGGCGGATCAGATTTGTAGAATGAGGGCAGGAGGGTGGGAAGGGGGGGGGGGAAGAGAGGGGCTCTAGGAATGTCTTGGGCTCCTGCACGGGACCGCGCTGAGCTTTTGTTGCCGCGCTGCCGTTTTCTTCCTGCCCGAGTCAAAGCGTTCCGAGCTGTAGGTTTGTCGACAGTGACATGTCGAGCACCGGGTCTCCTAGCAGTCATAGCGGCGAGTTTAGTGGAGAAAGTGACACGTCGATGGTGCTGCCATCGCCATCACTCTTCCCGCTGCTGGCTACTTTTCAGGCCAACGTTCTTCGCAGAATCGCTTGGGACATGCTCTTTGAGCATTTGGGGCGCATGCACGCGGACAGGCGTGCCATCACCAATAAGTGGCGGGCAGTCAAAAGTCGTCAGCAAAACATGTCACCCGAGAACGTACTGGAGCGTACCCTTCCCAGCAACGACAGCGATTGGGTGGCTCGCGTAGGAGGTCGACATTGTGCCGGGCTCCCGGCCATTCGCGACCGCTTGGAGGTGCTCTTGTATGCCGAGCTCCGTTCCAGGGTCGCGCCCGCTTACCGTCTGCGCTGCACTCTCCTGCTGCTGGACGAGACTGTTGGCCATGGCGTGCGAACAATTCTGAATCGTCTTCTGCTGCCTCTCCTGCAACCAGGCCGTATCAGGAAATTTCAGCGCTGGTATATCTCGTTCAGACAACATCGCGAGTTGGTTTACACCACAGCTCCGGAGATTTGATAGGTCCTGACGTGCACATTTCCAGGTGCCGAATTGCATATTTGCCTGCCCGTCACGGCTGCCGTGCTGTGGTTGACATGTATGGGGCCGTGGCAACCGGATTCCCGATATTGCGTTCGCACGTGGCAAAGTCTGCGGCGTGAGTGCCGACGATGCGTCAACGAAAATTTAAAGACAACGAGTGCAGTCCGTCATGGACGACTCGCTGTGGGTCGACGTGTCGGGCTGCTGTGATAGGAATCTGAGGGATGCGCTGGTTGGCTGTGTTTGCTTTTGCTCAGAAAAACAAAAAGGTTCGTCGATTCACTTGCCTTCTCTCATGCAAGTTCAGCGGATAAAAGCGACACCTTGCCGTACCCGCGCGGATTCGACGGCCCATCGGCACCGCTGGCCGGGTGTGCGGCTTGAAGTGCATCGAGGCATCTGGACCACCTTGAGGCTGACGTGCCAGGGCTGTGGCATATGACACCCGGGCACATGGGCTAATGCGCCGGGTGGGGTGGTCCAGTGTTGTGTCTGCATTCTGCTTACACAGCTACAGGGGAGGCCATCCGTGCTTGTCATGCTAGGAAGATCTTTTTGCGTTACCTAAGGAGTCGACCCTGCCCTATGACAGCAGGACATATGGGCTAACGTGCCTGCTGGGAGCTCCTTTTATGTCTCTGCACATTCTGGCTAGCCAGTAGTCTGTGCGAGATGATGCCCCGCTCGGTGCCAGCAAAGGAGGCTGTGGAACTGTTCATCGACCGAGTCCGGTCCGCAGCATGGAAGGCCGAATCGAGTATTATGGCAATTACGTAATTACTTCAGATTGTGATCAAACTTGTGAAAGGCTGGATTTCTGCGCACTCCGATCCTGCTGTCCGGGCCAGACTTCCAGGTTCCGAGCAAAGAAGGAAAAACCGATAATGCGTCAACGAAAATTTAAAGACAAGGCGTGCAGTCCGTCATGGACGACTCGTTGTGGGTCGACATGTCGGGCTGCTGTGATGGGAATCTCAGCGATGCGCTGCTTTGCTGTGTTTGCTTTTGCTCAGAAAAACAAAAAGGTTCGTCGATTCACTTGTCTTCTCTCATGCAAGTTCAGCGGATAAAGGCGACACCTTGCCGTACCCGCGCGGATTCGACGGCCCAGCGGTCCGTGCACACCGCTGGCCGGGTGTGCGGCTTCGAGTGCCTCGCGGCATCTGAACCACCTCGAGGCCGACGTGCCAGGGCTGTGGCCTATGACACCCGGGCACATGGGCTAAAGCGCCGGGTGGGGTGGTCCGGTTGGAGATCCTGCGGTGGGCTCCCAACCAAGAGGGGAGGCCATCTGTGCCTGTCCTGTTAGGGAGATTTGCCTTACCTCCTCGTGTGTCCTTCCCCCCCCCGGTGAGATCCTAAAAGGGAGGCCGCTTGAGTTGTCTTGTGAAGAGAGGGGTGAGATAGTGCCTAATTCAGTTCTTGCCTGTGCTCACTTTTGCGTGCAAGTGGCCCTGAAATCAGGTCTATCGTTGATCGTTTGGCATGGCCTGTAACTGTAGTGGCAGCGTAGCATCCTGCTGTAAGTTACCACTACCCCAGCCGCCAGCTGTGCCTTGAGCCTGCTACTCACAGTGGTGATGGCAGCCTGTGCCTGGTTTGTTTGTAGCGGCGCACTGCCCAGCATTGTTTAAGCCGAAGCAAACCAATACGACGCGATCTGTAACGTCGCTGGTGTGCTGGGGGCCTGCAAGCAACAGCTGCGACGGGATCCGGCACAGCGCTGTCATCTTAATATTCCCTGTGAGCATGGCGACCCACCTTGGCCGAGTGGGGTGGGTTTCATCAAATGGGGGAGGCCGCTAACCCATGATTAGGTTATATCTCTTTCTGCTGAGCACATGCTTTCTGTTCTCTTGGATCGACGACAGAGGCAGAGTGCCGAGGCAGAGTGCCAGTCGAACCTCTTCGGGGTTGCCTTACCTAAGGAGTCAACCCCTGCCCCATCAGGGTTGCTCCCCACACCATTGGCCGGGTGTGAGGCGTTCGGTTTTGCCTTTGTCACTGCCTTCAGGCCAACCTATCCCAGGGCAGGGGGTAGATGACAGCCGGGCACATGGGCTAATGCGCCGGCTGGGGCTTGACCTGGTGACATCGAAGCAGTCATGCAAGTCACCGGAAGCAATACCGGACAAAGAAGGGAGGCCGTTCTTGGGAGATGGCTGTGTTGTTGTGTTCACTGTCTCATTCATGCCTGCACAGAGAACATTGCTTGGTTTGCCGTTGAGTACTGCGCTTGCTATTGATCAGAGAATTCTTGTCGATTCGCTTGCCGGTATGTTGAGGCATATGTGTGGCCGCTACCCAGGACTCGCTGTTTCGCGCACAGCTTCCTTGAGGGAAGAACGTAGTGCAGGGCAGCTTGTAGTTGTACGCCGTTATCCGGGTGTCACTTCTCTGAAGGATGGCTAGTGCAGGGCAGCTTGTAGTCCACACCGTTAGCCGGGTGTGGCGGGCCGCTGTTTGGGATTTTCGGGGCTCTTGAGGCCAACGGGGACCTGCTCCCTATGACAGCAGGACATATGAGCTAATGTGCCTGCTGGGAGCCCCCTTTATGTCTCTGCACGTTCTGGCTAGCCAGTAGTCTGTGCGAGATGATGACCCACTCGGCGGCAGCAGGGTAGGCTTCCAGCGCCGTGTTTAAGTCAGGTTGGTTGTTGCATGCCATGACATTTCTCGTGTGTTTTCAGGTTCAGGACCGACAGCAGCCGTCGCACTTTTTAGGATGGATCGACGAGTAGAGAACCTTGAGCACCCCTGTGCTTGTGGCAGGTACCGACGTCTTCGGGACAGTCCAAGTCGAGTGTCGCCTATCTTGGCAGGCCGGGGCGGTCGACCGAAGCAGAGTTGTAAAGCCCGCTTCTCTTGTCGAGACGTTAGACCCGTCGCTTTTGGAAATAGAACGGGGGAAAAAAACAAGCCAGTTGGAACGGGCGTTCCTCTTAGCTGTCTTTGACGGACTTGTGTCAGGCATTCCAATGATTTCAGATCGTGGGGATCATGCTCCTTGAGGAAGGTCGAGTTAAGAATTAAGAGGGTTCCTGAATTCTGCTGCTTCGTTGGCTTTTGGAACTCGAGAGCGGCCAAACCACATGGAATGGGCGAACATTCGACGTCGCCCTCATCTCTCTGTCGATGACCACGAAGAAGGTGATGGAACATGTCCGAGCACTGGCGCAGCCTTGACCAAGCACGGGGAGCCCGGCGAACACCTCTTCGATCGCTGCGTCACTTTGATCGCCAGAGCACTGCTGCGGACAAGAGTACCGAGGTGCCGCAGGAGGATTACCGCTGCAACGCGATGTCCGGCCATGGAGTTGATGCTCAAGAAAGACTGGGGACCGGATCCCGCTGGCATGTGCATTTTCCGTACCCTACTTCTGGACTGACACAATGGAATCCCAATAACATCTGTTAGGATACTTGCTGGACCCCCCCCGACAAGCCGTCTCATGGCCCGTCCGTACCTGTAATAGCTAGGAAAAGTGTGGGTCTTAACATTCAGCCACAGTCTTTTTCGTGGTTCTTCCTTTCCAGCCTGGACACGTCGCACAAAACCGTCTTCAGCGGACTGATAACCTGTTGTGCTGGGTTTGCGACAACGTTCCACGCGGACTCGTGCTCTCGGTTCGAATAAGCGTCGTTGCGGTACAAGGGTTCTAGGAGCTTCATGGTTTTGCTTTCAGACGTGGCCATTGTTCTCTTGTTCAGCTGCAGGCTAAAAATTTCGCACAAGCTTCTAATCTTCGGACGGACGAGAGTCGTGTGCGGAATTTAAGATGTCACGCACAGGCCGCTACTCCTTGTTGCGAAATGTCATTGCTGTGGATTCCAGAAATGCCTTGGGTTGACTTGCAGGCATGGGCTTCCTTCTCTTCTTGTGTTGCTGCCTGGAGATCTTGCGCACAGCGGTATCCAGCTAGCAGAGAACCATCATGCGCTGGCTTTGCGAGGCTCCGCGTAAGCCCCTGATCTCCCTTAGCTTGCTGGTGTGGATCACTCGCTGTGGGCGACCGCAACCAGAGCGGTCATATAAAGCGTACACCTTAAACCTTGGCCTAGAGACCTCCTCGTGAGTGCTATGCAGCTATAACAAACAGAATGGACGCACCAGGTTCGCGAGGTCCAGTAAATCATCGCTTTTGGTCGAACTGCTCCCGGCACCTGCGAAGGTGCCCGGAATGTGCCCCGTTCACAGGCCGGGACGGTCGACTGGGGCTGATGACATGGAAACGTCTTGTCTGGTTTGCTTTTTAAGGCACTTTAACGGATTCAGGATTGCTCCTCGGTCGAGTTTCAGCAGGGAGGGAGGAGGTTGGCCAGGAGACACGAGGATTGTTGATTCTTGCACATTTCGGAATAGAGTAGAGAGAACAAGCTGTGTATTCCCTTGATTGCGTTTCGGAGTTTGAATCCATGTACGGATGTAGAGAAGAAAGGAAAAAGAATGTTGGCGACGCCGGGCTTGTGCGATGGACCCGCGACATGTCGTGAGGGGAGCACCTGGATTGACAATGTGCTGTAACACGTGTCTCCCGATGCGTCCTGCAAGTTCTCGCAGCTGGACAACTCCCGAAGCAGATTGGGATGAGCTCGAGAGCGAGAACGAGACAGAGCAGCCTCCCTGCATGGCAACCTGAAATACAGCCACTGTTTGCTTGGCGCGGCTGATCTGAAGGTCCGACTGCGTGTTGCCGCATGCTACGACGAGATGTCCTCCACAAGGAAACACCTGATGTTGCTACGGTGGAATCGAGGATGCTGTGTGTGTCGGCGTCCTACGAACGGATCTCAGCGGCCCAGCACCTGTCGACGCGGTCGACGGAGAACAGCTTGCACGCAACATGTGTGCATGGTTTGCAGACCAGCACCACGAAGAACTCCGCCATGTTGCGCATGAGGAAGACTTTCGCTCTGGGAGCGCTGCAGCGCCGTGTCCATGCGGTGCACTGGAATGAAGTTGCTAGTAAACCAAG